CTGAACTCGTGTCTGGACCTGATAATGGACTGGATGAGGGTTAATAAATTGAAACTCAATCCAGACAAAACGGAAGTGCTGTTAGTGGGTGCTTCGCCGGACAGGCTGGAGGGCCATTTCCCTGCCCTGAATGGGGTTACGCTCCCCCTAAGGGACAGAGTCTGCAGCCTGGGGGGTGCTCCTGGACCCCAGTCTAACTCTGGAAGCCCAGGTGGACTCAGTGGCCAGGGCACCTTCCTTCAGCTGCAGAAATTGTACCAGCTACGACCCTATCTGGATGAGCGGTGTCTCATGACACACATGCACTGGTAACATCTTGTATAGAATATTGCAATGCACTCTACATGGGGTTGCCTTTGAAGATGGTCCAGCGAGTGCAACTGGTCCAGAATCGAGCTGCGCGGCTGGTGAGTGGTGAGGCCACTAGGGAACATATCAAGCCGATTCTGATTAAATTACATTGGTTACCAGTTACTGCCCGGACCCAATTCAAAGTGTTTGTTTTGACATATAAAGCCCTAAACAGCTTGGGCCCTGGATACCTGAAGGACCGCCTCCTTCCATATGAGCCTACCCAGCAGTTAAGATCTAGCCAGGGGGCCCTTTTGAAAGAGCCATCCCTCAAGGAGGTAAGAGGGATGGCTTGTAGACAAAGCGCCTTTTAGGCATATAAGTAAATAAATAAATAAATAAAATACAGATCTATGTCTTCTGTTGTCATGCCTCATCTGCTTACCCCTCCTCTGATGCATGTATACCAACTGATAGATTATAATAGTAAGGTTGTTTTTGTGAGTATATTTTCATAGTGTTCTGGCTGCCTGATTATAGCCAGGTTGGCGGTGTGCTCTGGTATGTATTATTCATTGAGGCTTTTGGATCAGAAAGCAAAAAGTACAAGGAAAGATATTTGGGAGAAAAAAATATCCATCAGCTTGTGTCAACAACCCATTACACTTTCCTGTTCCTTTATTCCTTTGCTCCTTTTCTTGGAAACAAATACTAATGTAAAGAGCTGTAGGTGCAGGCAAACTCTTGCTTCTAGCAATAGGTCAACTTAGATGCCATCAAAAGACCTGAATGCTAATATTTGATTTTAAGAGTCATTCTATCAATCCACTTATTTGTATATTTGTTTTTGCTGCTCCAATATATACATACATTTTCTATATACCACATTCTTGAAGGTTTACAGAATGTTATTAATAGTTACTAATTAAATTTGTTGTTGCTAATACTAAATCCATTTCTAGGGCAGCAAGAGCATGAGAATTAAACTCCAGTTGATATAAACATCAACCATAATGATGTAGCAATATGATGTGTCACTCCAATGACCTATTATCCACGATACATTTCTACATTAGTATTAATGCCTTTCTGAAAGGACCACAGAGTATTAGTATATTAAATGCAATACTGGGTCTAATTTGCTGGCAATACTAAACCATCCTCTTTTCTTTCAAGTTCAAGTCGTTATATATTTCTACATTTGTGTACTTGGTGAAGAATAACACATTACTAATTACTAAATCCAATGTTAAGCTAAGCTCAGCTTACTGCAAGAAAAATTTAGTTCTAGCACACTGTTTCTAGAAATTAGGAAAGTTACGTTTTTGAATGACAAATCCCAATTTGGCCTACAGATCCTATAATTTGTTTTTGTTTGTTTATTTCAGAGTAGGTCCAATATGGTTTTGGAAGAAGCAACCTAATAAGGTGCCAGTATTGTTAGGAAAATTGTTCATATTTGCATTTACCTGGGCTGTTGGAGGAGTTTTAAAAAGAGAGGAAGAGCATGAGGGTGAGACTTTAATTGGCATAAACACCAGCCATGATGATCTTGCAAATGTAACACGTGACTTCAATTACCTTGTTCGTGATCTTTTTGAAAGAGAGCCTCTTGCTAGTAAGTTTTGAGTTTTTGCTGTTTTCTCAGTATACTAACTGTACATTATCTATTTTAATAACTATAAAGCTAGTATTAAAATATGAATAGAATAATAAAATAGTAGAACAGGAAAGAACAAAATAAAATGGACTTTGGTATTTGTCTGAAGCCAAACTATCTGTGCAACTTACATGCAAAACTGTTAACATTAAATACTGTAGTCTGAAATAGCTATGTAGGTGCAATGGTCTGCATCAGACTTCCACCACCAGTGTTGTTAAAATATTTTTACTATACCTTTTAACATCTTCTAACCATCAGCCACACTGGCTGAGAGTGATGTGGAAGTTGGAAAGACTGATATAAATATTGCTACATATTTAAGTTAAATAGATTCCTAACTAAACGCATGTATGGGGGAAGGCAGAAGGAATCCAGTGGTAAAGTGTTAACTTTACATGTAGAGGGTTCTGTACAAAGTTTCCTGCATGTTCAGTTAAAACAGTCTGAGCTAGCAAGATGAGAAAGTCTCCTGTGTGAAAATGTAGGAACCTTCTCCTAGCCAGAGTAGATCTAGTGGATCAAATAGACCAGTCACCACCACCACCACCACCACCACCACCACCACCACCACCATCATCATCATCATCATCATCATCATCATCAGGTAAGGAAGGTGTCAGAAAATGAGGAAGTCAAGCTCTTGTGGGATTTCCAGATCCAGACTGATAGATACCTTGAACATAACACACCAGACATAATAGTAATAGAACAAAGAAATGTCTGGATCATTGACATTGCAATTCCAGGACATGCCAGAGTTGAAAATAAAGAACTGGAAAAACTAACAAAGTACAGAAACCTGGCAATTAAAACATCTTGCTTGTGGATGAAACACATTTCAGTGGTCCCCATCATAATTGGGGCTTTGGGAACAATATCAAGAAATTTCACAGAGTAGTATAAGCAGTTGCAGATCTCAGAAATAACACCATCAGAGCTACAAAAACCAGTAGTATTAGGAACAGCATACATACTGTGCTGATATTTAACAGATTCTTAGGTTTTCAGTTAAAACTTGTATCTGTTATATGCCAATATGGAATAAAATGCCCAGCCTCTGTCTCTGCACCCAGATACCTGTAGGCCGGCCAGCCAGCTAAATAGACCAATACCTTGGCTCATAAAAGTGCTTTTGTGCATTAAATAATTTAGAGTGGTTCCAGAAATGGCTTTTCCGGTACAATAAACATGGTCAGTTTATTGCAGTATAATAATAGTTATACACAATGTGTTTAATATGCTGTATTCAGATCAGCTTTACCTGGTGCATGTGCTATAGTTTGTTACATCTTCTTAGACGTCAAAGTTAGTTGCCTTTCAGCTCTGATCAGATATTATGCAATAGTGCTCTAACACCTAAACACAATGTTAGGCACATTGTTCTCTGTCCTGATATCAAAAATATTTTCAGGGTGGTATTGCAGCTATCAAGTAACAATGAAGCCTAAGAAATAACAATGATGATGAATAGTTATAGCAAAAGGATATCAGTAGACAATGATGATAGTTGTTCAAAAGCAAAACCATGCAAATGAAAAAGAAAAAAAACATTTAGGGTGTGACTAGACAGCCAAATTATCCAGACCTGGATCGGTCTAGATCAGTGGTTCCAAACCTTGAGTCCCCAGATGTTCTTGGAGTACAACTCCCAGAAATCCTGGCCAGCACAGTTAGTAATTACGACTTCTGGGAGTTTTAGTCCAAGAACACCAGGGACCAAAGGTTAGGAACCATTGGAATAGATCATGCTGAACAGGTCTGTGTGGAGGTGCAGTATGGCATTGCGTTGATCCTTAAATCCACATTCAAACATCAACCACACTGCACCTGAAGTGACTCTGTCTAGCATGATCTAATCCAGTCTTTTTCCCCTTTAAAGGGAAACACAAACAACATTTTAAAAAACCCTCCTGTCGCTTCATCTGTGCTTTTGCTTAAGCTACTTGATGATCTTGAGAAATGGAAAGCTTCCTTCCCACTTGCCTATGGAGGGAATAGGAGAGGAAATTTTCCTTTACTTTTAAATTGTTATTTACTGACACAGCACATCAAGAATGCATTGAAGGGGCTTTAAAATGCAAAAGCTCTTTTGAAGCATCACTAACATGTTAGCAACAATTAAAAAGAACTGGAAAAGTTCCTTTCCCCCCTCCACAGATGAGTGGGAAGGAAGCTTTCTCAAGACAATTAAGTGCCTGGAGCAAAGGGGGAACTTAAGCCATTCACTTCAGTTTGATCCTAGTGATCACACATGCTGAAACCAAACCAAAATGGAGCCATCCTACCCGCAGCAAAAAATCAGCAGCCCATGACAGAGGCCCCAAAAGGTGCAGGTATGCATCAATCAAGGACTGGATGGTTCACAATGGAATATACATCATGTGGTTGCTGGGAAAAGGAGTGAACCAGCCCATTCCCAATCAGGACCAAATTGTGAAAAAATACCTGTCTGATCACACCCTGGGTTTCAGAAGTGTGGGCTACAGTAAACATAATAGAATTATTCTTCTTGAAAAATCAAGAAATATCTTTGTGAACCTTTATGTATGCACATAATGTGAAGCTTGCCTCATAAAAATGTTTCCTAACTTAACTTTATGGCAGTTCTAAAGACAGAAAATGTTTCAGGTTTGTTCTTCCTAGCAAATATGCACACTTCACATAATTGTTTCATATTTTAATAGCATATTCCTCCCTTTTCTGACTTTTAGATATTCAGATTCCATCTGGAGACAAAACAGTTTTTGATTATTTTCTGGATTTGCAAACAGGAGAGTTTGAACCATGGGCAAATTTAGTTCCTACTACACAGTTTCTTATTCAGAAGGGTAAGAACAGCTAATGTGAATCCATATTTATCTATTTCTTCTTTAATGCTCTTGGAAAAAATATTTTAGTACATTTAAAGCTTAACTTCTACTCAATATTTTAGTGTGATTTTATTTTATTTTTGTTATAAGCTACCTGGAATATGCAGAGACAGAATATAACTGTTTTAAGTAACTACATGAGTAGAATCAGAGTCATTGGCTGAAATTCAGCAGGGTTAAAACAAAGTACTGCACCTAGGAAAAAGAAACCTAACACACAGTTACAGTATGGGGGATACGTGGCTCAGAAATACCCTGAGCGAGAAGGATCTTGGAATCGTCATAGATCAGAAGCTGATTATAATCCAGCAGTGTGATGTGGATAAAAAAAGACAAATGTATTTTAGGCTGCATTGTTTGTTTGTTTGTTTGTTTGTTTGTTTGTTTGTTATTTGATTTATACCCCGCCTATCTGGACTACCAGACCACTCTAGGTGGCTAGAAGTATAGTCTCCAAATCCCGTGTTGTACTTTCATTGGCATTGGTTAGGCCTCACCTTGAGTACTGTGTCGAGTTCTGGACACCGCACTTCAAGAAGGATGCTGACAAATTGAAACAAGTTTAGAGGAGGGCAACAAAGATGATTAGGGGACTTGAAACTAAGCCCTGTGAGGAAAGACTGAAAGAACTGGCCATATTTAGCCTTGAAAAAAGAAGACAGGGGAAATATGATAATACTTTTCAAATACTTGAAAGTCTGTCATACAGAAGAGGGGCAGGATCTGTTCTCGATCAGCCCAGAGTGCAGGACATGCAGCAATGGGCTCAAGTTACAGGTAGCCAGATTTCTGTAGTATGACCAAGGAATCAGTTACCTTCAGGTAGCCAGATTTCTGTTGAATATCAGATAAAACATCATAACTGTTAGAGTAGTATGACCAAGGAATCAGTTACCTCGAGAGGTCATGAGTGCTCCAACACTGTTGCCATTCAAGAAGAATTTAGACATCAACCTGGCAGATATCCTTTGATTTGTATTCCTGCATTGAGCAGGAAAATGGACTCGATGGCCTTATAGGCGACTTCCAACTTCATGATCCTGTGATTCTATGAAAACATGTCTAGCCTAGTAGTGTAGCAAGTTGCAGCTAGAATAGGTCCGTTTCAATCAGTGGAACTTATGGAAGAATTGAATTACCAAATTCAAACTGATTCAGTGGGCCAACTTAGTACACTAAGCAATATTTTCAACCACTGTGTATTAATCATATAATATTTAGTAGGAAAATCAAATTATCTTTCTCTGATATTATTTCTATCTTGCAATACATTTCTTTAATGTTTTTGAACTTTGCTGAAAGCACATGCCATGAATCATAAGAATTTCTGCTATGTGCCATGTTTGATCTAAATAGTTTGCCCTCCTAATTTCTTCACTTTCAGGACGTTTAAGGGGATAACATTCTTTCTGAAATCAGGAAAAGGGGATAGAATCTCAAATGAGGGCTAGGTGTGCCTAGAACTGATAGTGGCAACTGTATTCTAAATAATGTAGTGGCCCATGGGCCACTTGGTTTCCCTGAGGTTTTCTACTCTTTAAAAGGGCAATCTTTGCTCAGCAGAAGACCCTTCAACATCCTGGCTCACATATGCTTTGGAAATGATACTGTTAATGCCTCTGTGAAAATACTTTGAGATGATATTACACAGGACATTGAATAGAAAAAAAGATGGCAGTCCACATCAGAGAAGGAAATGGGAACAAGGAAATCATATAGCCAGTATAGTTCTTTGTGGCCTCTATGATACCCCATATAAAATATCTTTTCTTATATAGGATTCAACATGAAACATTATCCTTCTATAAGCTATTTGTATTGGCCAAAATGATCAGCAAGAGAATTTCTGTTTTAGGATGAGCTGCCTCCTGTTGGACCAAAAGCAAATGCTACATATGAAACCATCTTATGTCTAGTTAGATTCTAAATCTGATGAGCTCAGTGATTGGCAGCCTTCTCTATATGGCCAGCTTATTTAACTCTGTGCTCCATAGTTAGGTAATTAAAATACATTTAGTTAATATATCTGTTTCATAAAACTGTGATTGGATTAAGCACTTCACCAAAACAGACATTTCCTGGACTCCATGTGCTAGATAGTGCTGAAATAGTTAATGACTAAAAATTGGAAGGAAAATGGCAGCAGAACCAAAAGAAAACAACAAGAGAAAGCAAACCTAGGGAAAAACTAAAGAAGGCTCTCTGCTGATACCATATTTGGTCATAAGTCATGGCATTTCTTCAGAACTATATGCCTAAATAATCAGATTTGCAAATTAAGCTCATGTTTACTTCCTAATGACCAATCACAAAGGCAAATTAATTTGCAAGACAGGGAGTTGAGAACAGCTCCTGCTAGAACAGACTTCTTTTATCATTTCGGGAAACTTCATTTCTAAATGTAAGGGTTTAGAAATGAAGTTTCTTATCTATACTGACCTTTAAATTAAACATATTGCAAAAAATGTTTTGCAAAAGATAAATTGAACTATATTTAGCAAGTATGATGAATTCATGAAGTATGGGAAAGTGGGAATTTCAAAATGATTTCACTATGATTATAACTCATAACCAAACTTCACATTTACCTATGCAACTAGACGCAAAATTGTAGGACACTTATTTACACTACAAATTATGCAGTGGGATGATATTCAGCTGCAAATACAAATCTGCACAATACTATAGATAAGTATTGCAACAGCCAAAATTGTGAGGAACATATACTATTATGGTAAACAACTGGAAGCCTGGTACCCTTGCCTATCTACTACAACTAATCCATCACAGAAGAGACAGCTCTGTATCTTGCATGCATTCCTGATTTCCACTATGAGGTTAGTAAATTTATAATGTAAGATGATAGAAGAGAACATCCCCTATTCATGAAATAATTGCATTTTTGCTTTTATTAAATGTAGAGACATTGGACCTTCCAGATTCTGATAATATAATGGCGGAAAATCAAGAAAAGAAAACAGAGACCTCTATGTTTATTCCCAATATTGATACAATACGTCATAGTTTCCTAACAAGCCTCCTCTTACTGAATAAACATCCAGTGTTGATTATCGGTAAGACCGTTTCGAAGTACTATCAAATACTTTTGTAATACTGAATTAGTCTTGTTAAGTCAACATACTAAATCCCATTGGTTCAATGTGGGAGTGGCAAGTGGTATGATCAGAACTAGTTATACTCTAGAATTTATTTCAGTTTGCAAATGAAATTTAAACCATACTCCCCAGATTATGGTTTTGGACATAGAGCTCAGTTATCCAGTTTTTCCACTTCTCCAGTTTTTATGACATTTTTGGTGGAAAAGCACCTATATATAAATGTGTTTTATAAAAAATATTTCTATAAATGTGTATTCTGTGAGAAAAATATGCATTTATATACACGTTTTCATGTGGGTTTATTTATGTACTTTAATGCACAAACAGGTCAACAATCACCCAGGTAATTGATTTGTCCATGTAGTAGATTTATAATAATTCCTGCCTGGATTGATTATCAGTTTATTTGCTGTCATCCAATCCAGGACAAGTATAGCCTCACATGCACTTCAAGGAAAAGAGAAAGAGAGTTGGATGTCATCCACATACAAATGACACCTCAAAACAGATGACCTCTTATAGTATTTTCATATATACATTAAATAGCATCAGAGAAAGTATAGTACCATGTGCAACATCAAACCATGAATATCAAGGTATTGAGCAGCAGTCCCCCAGCACCATTAAATTCTGGAAATGACCATCCAAGGAAAAGTAGAACCATCATAAAGTGGTGCTCCTATTGTCAGCACCTGACTTAGACAGCTATAAGAAGGATATTGTGGTTGATTTTATGTAAAACTGCTTAGATGAAATAACACTTTGAACCATTAAATTTTGGAAATACATTAGTTGATTTATTTTATTGCTAAAACTATTATTTTAGTTCTATGTATTTTATGTTTTGGTGTTATGTTTTACTGAATGTTTATATTGCAAAATAACAGTGAAAAAATGAACAGATAAATTTCCCGCTTACTACTTTTCACTAGTGTGAACCAGAACTGAGTCAGCCTAAAACAAGGAGAGCCAGTCTGGCGTATTGCTAGAGTGTTAGACTAAGACTCAGAAGACCTGGGTTTACGTAAATCCCTACTCAGTCATGGGAATAGCAATGGTAAACCAATCCTCAGAAATCTCAAAGTCTTACTAACTCCAGTAGGGTCACCATGAATCTGAAGCAACCTGACAGCACATAACACAAAACAATGTATTCTGTATCTGAAGTATGTATTCTATATTTGAAATCTGTCTGTTTTAGGAAGCAGATCAAGATGAAATTATATAAAGTTGCCTTCTAGTAGTGTTGATTTGAGATGTTTAAATGTGATTTAATTAGACATAGATATTTTGTAAGCCGCCCCGAGTAGACATGGTCTAGAGGGGCGGGGTAAAAGTCAAATCAAATAAATAAATAAATAAATAAATTGATTTGAGATGTTTAAATGTGTTTTAATTAGACATAGGCTATTTATATTTGCATCCCTAGAGATATGAATACAAATAGCAGCAGCACAGGTGCCACAGAGGCCCATTCTTTTGCCCCAGAATCAACCAGTCCACTCACCGACTGCCACATAGAGCTGGAGTCCTTCATCATACTTGAATGTAGAGACATTGGACCTTCGGTGGATGCAGGAGAATGGGCTGAGGCTGAACCTGGGCAAGACGGAGGTCCTGAGGGTGGGTGGCCCCTCCATCTGCAGTTTGGGAAACTCCCACTCTTTGGGGGGGGTGACTCTCACCACGAAGAGTGAGGTTCGCAGCTTGGGAGTACATCTGGACCCGGCGCTCACCATGGAGACCCAGGTGGCTTCAAGTGGTCCGCTCCACCTATTTCCATCTGCAGCGAATTGCCCAGCTGTGTCCCTATCTTGATGTTGGGGCGCTCACCACTCTGGTCCATGCGCTCGTAATCTCGAGAGTAGACCACTGCAATGCACTCTACATGGGGCTACCTTTAGGGTTGTTACGGAAACTTCAACTGGTGCAAAATGTGGCAGCCAGACTTCTCACTGGGATGAGAAAATACCAGCACATCTCTCCCATCCTGGCCGCCTTGCATTGGCTTCCCATTCGTTTCCGCATCTACTTCAAAGTGTTAATGATGACTTATAAAGCCCTAAAGGAGCTCGATACATGGCAGAGCACCTTTTCCCACCTAGATCAACCCGAGTCACTCGTTTTAGCCAGGAAAGACGGCTGAGGGGCCTAACGCTGAGAGAGGCCCGGAAAGAAAGAACAAGAAACCGGGCCTTCTTGGCAGTGGCCCCTCGACTATGGAACACCTTGCCACCGGAAATCACCCTGGCACCCTTGCTGGGTGTTTTTAAGAGTCATTTAAAGACCTGGCTCTTCAGGCAGGCCTTCCCTCCAGTCAACATCTGATTTTCTTTTTTCTTTAGCTTTTTTTCCCATCTTGATCCTCTAATTTGTTGATATAATTATGTGATTGATTTACATATACTTTGATGATTTTATTTGATTGTATTTTATAATGTTTTATTCTTCTTTGTAAGCCATCCTGAGTAGACTCTGTCTAGAGGGGTGGGGTGTAAATCGAATAAATAAAATAAATAAATCATTATCATTGTGCCAATCATGGAAGGAGCTCAGCTTGCTCTTCCCTGCCTCCCTGTGCAAGCTAACACTCCAGTGAGGAGGTGGGATGGGGACTCTCCCTGCTCAACTGATGAGTGGTTAGCTGTGCAGGGAGTTGAGGAAGAGTCCACCAGGCTCCTTCTGCAATTGGTGCAGCTATGACGACAAAGGACCCCAGTTCTGTGTGGCAACCGGTGAGTGCACCAGCTGTTCTCGGCGGAGGGAATGGACCTCCATGGCACCTGTGGTGCTGTTATTCGTATTCATATCCCCAGGGATACAAATACAAATAGCCCATGCCTAGCTTATTTTGTATAATTCTATTTAAATGTAGATTTATTGGTTTAGGTAGTGTTAGGGTTTTTTGTATTTATTGTACACTGGTTTTACTGTATAATTTGTTGTGAACTGCCCGCAGAGAGTGTTTAGACTGATACTTCGGGATAGAAATGGAAATAATATTAAATGATCAGCTGCAAACAGTTAACTGTCAACTAAAGGGTTCCTGAATACTTCTGTAATTTGACAACATTAAGATAAAAACTATTATAAAAGAAGAACTGTTACTTTGACTCTGCTACCACTAAAGAGTTGGCTTTACAGTCTGCTTTTTAACTTTTAGGTGACTCTGGTAGTGGAAAGACTGTTATGATTGAAAACATGCTTCGACGACTTCAGAAACAAGGAGGATTAAATATGAACATTGGAACAATTTTAGGAGAAGTTTTTTATTATGGTGAAATTCAAAAAACAAGGTAACACATGAAATCTAAAACAACTGATTTTACATTGAGATGATTTATGGAATCAGGAGTGAATGTTGCAGTGCAGTTAGCATAGTTTGGAATAATGATATGGTAAAATTGGACTTGGATATCCTCTGTTAGCATCTACTCCATTCATATACATAGCATATAAAACATTCATTTCCTAATCCAGTCTAGGAACTTTTGCTCTTGGTCTTGGTCTCCATTGACATATCCTTGCACTTTATCTTTTGACTCCTTCATTGCTGCCCTTCCTGGTCTCAGTCTTCTGAATTCTTGGTTGCAGTCTCCGTTGGATTGATAAGTGAAACAAGTTATACAAAATCTATAACTGTAATTTCAGTTTCTTCATTATCAGTGTTAAAAGTTGTGTAATATTTCTGTAGTCATCATTTTTGTCTTCTTCATGTTGAGGTGCAGTTCTGCTTTGGCACTTTCTTCTTTCACTTTCCCTAACAGTTGTTTCAAATCATTGCTGCTTTCTGCCAGTAAGATGATTTCATCTAGATAAAGGTAAAGGTTCCCCTTGACATTTAGTCCAGTCATGTCGGACTCTAGGGCACTCTGCTCATCCCTGTCTCCAAGCCGTAGCCAGCGTTTGTCCATAGACAGTTTCCATGGTCACATGGCCAATGCGACTAGACATGGAACGCTGTTAACCTTCCCACCATGGTGGTCCCTATTTATCTACTCACATTGACAGTGGTGCCTCGTTTAACGATTACCTCATTAAATGACAAATCCGCTTTACGATGAGTTTTTTGCGATCACAATAGCGATCACAAAATGATGTTTAGATAGGGAAAATTCACTTGACGATGATCGGTTCCCTGCTTCAGGAACAGATTTTTCGCTAGACAATTATTCTATAACAAATGATCAGCGGCTCTAAAATGGCCGCCTGCTGTGCAAAATGGCTCCCCACTGTGCTTTGGGACGGATTCTTCGCTTTACAGGCACCGGAAAATGGCTGCCCTATGGTGGATCTTCGCAAAATGAGCAGGTATTTACTGTAGTCCATTGGAACGCATTGAATGGTTTTCAATGCATTTCAATGGGTTTTTAAAATTCGCTTGATGACGATTTTGCTTAATAGCGATTTCAACGGAACAGATTATCGTCATCAAGCGAGGCACCACTGTATATTCTTTCGAACTGCTAGGTTGGCTGGAGCTGGGACAAGCGACGGGAGGTCACTCCATTACGAGGATTCGATCTTACGACTGCTTGGTCTTCTGACCTTGCAGCACAGAGGGTTCTGCGGTTTAACCTGCAGTGCCAGCACATCCCTGCAGTGCCACCACATTTTCATTTACATATCTTAAATTATTGATGTTTCTTCCACCAGTTTTCATCTGAATCTACTCCAACCTTTTGTATAAATATGTTCTGCATACAGATTGATCAGATAAGGGATAAAATATACCCTTGTCTGGCATGCTTATAGGAAACCATCCTATCTCTCCATATTCTGTCCTAATAGTAGCTTCTTCTCTATAATATAAGTTATGCATCAGGACAATCAAGTGCTGAAGCATACATGTTTCTTTAAGAACAACCTATCATTTCCCATGATCTGCATGTCAAAGGCTCTGTTGTAGTATATAAAGCATAGACTGATCTGAAATTCTTTGGTGCTCTCCAGTAGCCAGTGGATATTTGCAATATGATCTCAAGAACGTCTTCCTTTTCAAAATCCAGCTTCAACATCAGGCATTTCTCACTCTGTATAAGGTAAAGCCGTTGTTGGAATACTTTGAACATAAATTTGCTTAAATGAGAAATTAATGAAATTGTCCTATAATTTGTAATCCTTGGCATCTCCTTTCGTAGGAATTGAAACGTATATTGAGAGTTTCCAGTCTGTGGGTCAGTGTTTTGTTTCCCATTTTTGTTGACATATTCTTTTTAGGATTTTGACAGATTCATTCTCTGTGGCTTGAAACAGTTCTATTGATATCTACTCCTGGCAATTTATTTCTTTCAAATGCTTTCACAGCAGCTTTCATTTCACTTTCTAGAACTGCAGGTTCTTCATCATAGACTTCCTTTTGTCCCTTCTGTATAGATCTTTGGTATACTGTTTCCTCCTTCTCTTGATTATCTCCTGATCACATAATATGCTTCCCTGTTGGTCATTCAAAATTCCTAATCTAGGCTTGAATTTCCCTTCAATGTTTTGGATTCTCCTCTTTCCTTCACACTTCCCTAAGATCAGGGTCTTTTCCAGGGAGTCTTCTCTTCTCATGAGATGGCCAAAGTATTGAAGCCTCAGCTTCAGGATCTCTCCTCTATCTTCCAGTGAGCACTCAGGGTTGATTTCCTTCAAAATGGATAGGTTTGTTCTCCTTGCAGTCCAGGGGACTCTCAAGAGGCTCCTCCAGTACCACAATTCAAAACCATAAATTCTTCTGCGGTCAGCTTTCTTTATGGTCCAGCTCTAACGTCCATACATCACTACTGGAAAAACCATAGCTTTGACTATGCAGACCTTTGTCGGCAAGGTGATGTCTCTGCTTTTTAAGATGCTGTCGAGGATTGTCATCACTTTTCTCCCAAGAAGCAGGCGTCTTTTAATTTCGGGGATGCTGTCACCATCTGCAGTGATCATGGAGCCCAAGAAAGTAAAATCTGTCACTGCCTCCATATCTCCCCCTTCGATTTCCCAGGAGGTGATGGGACCATTGGCCATGATCTTAGTTTTTTTATGTTGAGCTTCAGACCATTTTTGCACTTTCCTCTTTCACTGTCATTACGAGGTTCTTTAAGTCCTCCTCACTTTCTGCCGTCAGAGTGGTATCATCTGCATATCTGAGGTTGTTGATATTTCTTCTAGCAATCTTACTTCCGGCTTGGGATTCCTTCAGTCCAGCCTTTCGCATGATGCATTCTGCATATAAGTTAAATAAGCTGGGGAACAATATACAGCCTTGTCGTACTCCTTTCCCAATCTTGAACCAATCAGTTGTTCCATATCTAGTTCTAACTGTTGCTTCCTGTCCCACGTATAGGTTTCTCAGGATAGATAAGGTGATCAGGCACTCCCATTTCTTTAAGAACTTACCATAATTTGCTGTGGTCCACACAATCAGAGGCTTTTGCATAGTCAATGAAACAAAAGTAGATGTTCTTCTGGAACTCTCTGGCTTTCTCCATAATCCAGCG